GATTCATCGGCGATTTTTCCCCGCCGCAACACTAAAAAACTCGCGCCACCTGGATTGATAGTCACATGATTGAAAATGGCACCGTTTGATTGGCTGATGAATTATACAATCGGGCGACTCATTCGCCGACCCGGACACACTAGGCAATTGTAGTCGTGCGACTCAAATAATCGCTCGATTTTATCAAACATGTTTGATTCGGGCAACTCGGTCGCCCGACTCAAAAATCGCCGGCGACTCACTGGACACACTAGGTGATTTTTTAGGCGATTGAGTCGCCTGACTCAGTTGCCCGACTCAGTCGCCCGACTCAATTGCCTCAAAAATTGCCTAGTGTGTCCACAGCTCTAGCTGCCTGTAAATGTTTGCCGTTTTCAACATTCTGTTAATCTGTCTACTCTACACAACTTCGTCTGTCTTCATCCACCCGCGGATGGCAGGCACTGTGCACCGAGTAGCTACGAGAAATGCCAATGACAAAATCACTCCCATCTGCTTAATGAGAAAGGGAAAGACAGCTCACTTGATACACTTGATCCACTCGTCCTTGTCCTCGTCTGTTGCTGCCGACATTCTATAGACGGTGTGCTTTCCTGCAATGTATATAGGTGTTCCATTTACTACCTCAACACTAGCAGTACGACAGGGGCGGATCTAGGGGGCTCCGGCGGGTTCGGACCCCCCCCCCCTTTAATTTCAAAGTGCCCTAAAAAATCTTTTTTTAGGGCTAGCTTTTCTGATAGATTTATTTATACATGTATATATATAAATTCGTTATAAAAACCTAGAAATGGGCAAAGAGGGGTCCGGGGGACCTTATCTGATAATTTTTTGCATTCTAGACAACATGACTGCTCAGATGCTCTCAGAATGCACCAATTTTTAAGAATTTTCTTGGGGGATGGTCCCCCCCCCCATCAGTGGACTTCGGCAGCTTTTTAAAACACCAGAATAATTAAGCAGGGAAAAGTGCCCTTTATTTCTTCCCGGACACCCCCCTTTGAAAAATCCTGGATCCGCCCCTGTACGATGATGCCCTAGGCAGCACGATCAGTTTCTTTTGCTAATGCTAGTATTACACTATATAATATGAAAGGCAG